TGAGATCTGAGTGTGGCAGTTCAAAGCCAGCCCAGGCAAGGAAAGTGCATGAGACTCTTATCTCCGATTAACCAGAAGTAGCTCTGTGGCACAAATGGTAGAGCACTTACCTTGAGCTAAAGAGCTGAGGGACAGTGCCCAGGCCCAGAGTTCAAGCCCAATGACTGATTAAAAAAAAAAAAAAATACTATATATCATTGGGTTATTTATGTCATTTTACTTTTTGTAGTGCTAGGGATCAAACCCAAGCTCATATATGCCAGGAAAGCACATTACAACTGAGTTACATTTTCAACTGAATCCTTCATTAAAAAGGCTTTTGTTTTAAGGGAGGAAGCAAGGATGAACAAACACAACCATGCTATTCAGTATACACTATGTAGAAAAGAACATGTGTGGGCTGGGAAGGTGGCTCAGTGGTAGAGCGCTTGCCTTGCATGCCTGAGGCCCTAGGTTCGATTCCTCAGCAGCACATAAGCAAAAAGAGAAAAGCCGGAAGTGGCGCTGTGGTTCAAAGTGGTAGAGCGCTAGCCTTGAGCTAAAGAGCTGAGGGACAGCGCCCAGGCCCAGAATTCAGGCCCCACGACCGGACCCCCCCCCCCCCAAAAAAAGAAAATAACCTATGTAACTTGTGGGCAGGGATAGGAAGTAGAAACTGGAGTTACGCAAAGAAAGGATAACATTGTCCAAAAATTAGAAATGTACTCATTACCTGCCTTAAGAAATGGTAATCCCTCTCTACAACACATTAATAATAACAATAGTTATTTTTAAAGGTTAATGGAAGTGATGTATATGGGGGTGCGTACATGCGCATGCACACACACATACACACACCACACGCACGCCTACGCGCACATGTTCACAATATGATGTACGCTGGTTCAATCCCCAGATTGAACTTCACCTGGGCACTGTTTCTAAGGGTATTTTGCTCAAGGCTAGGGCTCAAGTGAGCCACAGCTCCATTTTTTTTTTTTTTGTAATAAGAGTCTCACAGGGCTGGGAAGGTGGCTCAGTGGTAGAGCGCTTGCCTTGCATGCATGAGGCCCTGGGTTCGATTCCTCAGCACCACATAAGCAGGGGGGAAAAAAAGCCAGAAGTGGCAATGTGGCTCATAAGTGGTAGAGCGCTAGCCTTGAGCTGAAGAGCTGAGGGACAGCGCCCAGGCCCAGAGTTCAGGCCCCATGACTGGACCCAAAAAAAAAAAGTCTCACAAAACATTCCTCTGGGCTGGCTTTGAATGGAGATCCTCAGATGTCAGCATCCTGGGTAGCTAGGTTTACAGGCAAGAGCCACTCACACCCAGCTTGTATGTAAATTTTATCGTGACAAATTGTGGGAAGAGCAGGGAAGGGAAGGGAAGAGGGGAGGTGATGGGAGTGAAGGGGAAAGAAAGAAGGAGCCAGGTAGGGAGGAGTTCTTGGCTTCTAGAAAGGAAGTTCTAAAACGTAAGAAGTAAGGGAGTAGCGCTCGTGGTAAAATGCATGCCCTGGTTGGATCCCTAGGATCAATAAAGCAGCTGGATGTGATGCTGCACAAGACTATAACCCTAGAATTTTGGAGATGGGAAGATCTCAGGAGTTCCTAGCCAGCCAGCTTGGATAAACAAAGCATCAAAAAAAAAAAAAAAAAAAAAAAAAAAGATGAAATTCAAAATAGTAAGAAAAAAATGTGAAATTAAAATGTCTAGCCCAGGCTGGCACCAGTGGCTCATGCCTGTTATCCTAGTTACTCAAGAGGTTAAAGAGATCTGAGGATCACGGTTCAAAGCCAACCCAGGCAGGAAAGTCCGTGAGACTCTTATCTCCAATTAACCACCAAAAAACTAGAGATGGCTCAAGTGGTAGAGCACTAGCCTTGAGCTGAAGAGCTGAGGGACAGTGCCCAGGCCCAGAGTTCAAGCCCCACGACCAACAAACAAATAAATATAGAAATAAATGAAACATCTAGCCCAGACTCTACCCAAATTCAATTAATGAGTCTGCTAAGCAGCTAAATTTAGGCATATTAATACTATAAAAAAATCATCCCCAGGGGATGGGAAGTGGCTCAGTGGTAGAGTGCTTGCCTTGCATGCATGAGGTCGTGGGTTCGATTCCTCAGCACCACATAAGCAGAAAAAGCCAGAAGTGGCGCTGTGGCTCAAGTGTTAGAGCACTAGCCTTAAGCTGAAAAGCTAAGGGACAGCGCCCAGGCCCAGAGTTCAGGCCCCATGACAGGCAAAAAAAAATAAAGTAGAGCAGCCAGAAGCCAGTGACTCACACCTGTAATCCCAGCTACTTAAGGAGGCTAAAATTTGAGGATCATGGTTTGAAGCCAAACCAGGAAAGGCCATGGGACTCTTATTCCCAACTAACCATCAAACAACATAAGACCCTGAGTTCAAGCACCAGTACACCAACACAAAAAATAAAATCCTTGGATCATGTGTCAGAGAACTTGCTCAAGTAAGCCCAAGGCTTTGAATTCAATCCAAAATAATCAATTTAAAAAATAAAAGTTATGTACAACCATAAAACAAACATAATCCTTTCCTCTGTTGGCTAATAGCCAGGTGTATGTAGCACTTCAGTATTATTTAGAGGTTCCTACTCTATGTGCTTTAGCATACATCCTTCTCTGCATAGGGAATAAGAAGCAAACCAATTCAGGCATCCTTCCCTAGGTACCAGCTTTTTACTAGTTAATTGGAGTTAAGAGTCTCTCAGGTTTGCTGGGCGCCAGTGGCTCACACCTGTAATCCTAGCTACTTGGGAGGCTGAGAGCTGAGGATCCCGGTTCAAAGCCAGCCTGGGCAGGAATGTCCGTAAGACTCTTATCTCCAATAAACCACCAGAAAACCAGAAGTGGTGCTGTGGCTCAAGTGGTAGAGTGCTCGCCTGAGCTGAAGAGCTGAGGAACCAACCAGAGTTCAAGCCTTACGACTAGAGTAAAAAAAAAAATTCAATTCTGTCTACAATAGATGATTCAAAAACTGCAGTATTTATAAATGGAATTTCACACAGCCATTAGAAAGAGTATTATGTCATTTGCAGGGAAATGGATGGATATAGAACAAATCATGGTGAGTGGGGTAAGCCAAGCTCAGAGAGACAAGTCTCAGACTTATCCAATTAACCACCAAAAACAAGGAAGTAGAACAAGCACACATACAAAAAAGTGGGGTCTTCACACTATATATTCATGATTAGGATTGGTGCCCTTATAAAAGATGTAAAAAAAAAAAAAAAAGCCAAGTGCCAGTAACTCACACCTGTAATTCTAGCTACTCAGGAGGCTGAGATCTGAGGATCATGGTTTGAAACTAGCCCGGACAAGAGTCTGTGAACTCTTCAATAAGTTATTAAGAAAAGGCTGGAAATGGCACTATGGTTCAAGTGGTAGAGTGCTAGCCTTGAACAAAAAGAGGCTCAAAGAGAGAATCCAGGCCCTGAGTTCAAACCCCGGGACAGGCAAAACAACAACAACAAAAACCTGCAAAAGTTAAGTGCTAGTGGCTCACAGCTATAATCCTTGCTACTCAGGATGCTGAGATGTGAGGATTGCAGTTTGAAGCCAGCACTAGGTGCTGGTGGCTAACACCTGTAATTCTGCCTACTCAGTAGGAAGCTAAAATCTGAGGATTAAGGTTCAAAGCCAACCTGGGCAGGAAAGTCTGTGAAACCTTTATCTCCAATTAACCACCAAAAAGTGGAGCTGTGGCTCAAGTGGTAGAGTCCTAACCTTGAGCAAAAAAGCTCAGCACCCAGACCATGAGTTCAAGCCCCAGGACCAACAAGAACAACAAAAAGGATGCAAAAGAAAGCTGCTATTCCTCTTCAGCGATGTGATAAAGCATCAAGGCATTATCTCAATAGAACAAAAATTCTCAGGAGTCACTAAATCTGCTGGCACTTTGTTCTTAGTCTTCCCAACTCTCAGCACCAATATAAGCAATATAATTTAATTGCTCATTAACTACTCAAACTAAGGTATTCTGCTATAGCAACACAGTGAACCTAAGATACCAAGTATTCTTCTGAGACTACTGACAGTTTAATCTTAAGAAATAATAAATTAGTTCTACATACCTCTCCTACAATTGGGTAAACTTTGTTATACAGAATTGTATTTCTCTAATGTTTATTATTTTAAATTCCAAAACAAAATCAAACCACTAATACCCTAGGAACTTACTATTTCTGGAAAGGAAAACTGTATTACCTTTTCAGTACTAGTATGACCTATTTGAAAAAAAGAAATCACAGCAGATATGAGGCTTAGACTAGAATAGCCTCAATTCAAGGCTAGCCTGAGATACAGTATGAAATCCTGTCACAAAAGAAAGAGTCGGAAAGAGGGCAAAGGAGAGAACAGAAAAAAAGTGAGGAATTATAGAAAAAGCACATGTGTGAAAACTTAAAAGCTGCTCCATTATGCTAGTACATTATTCTTGCAATGTTATGACTTAGCCTGAAGCTATGTTTCAATCAACTAAGGTAATGCTAGTTTCTGCAGGCATGTTGATTTGTTCAGAAGAACCTCACCTTGGATTTATTCCAAAAAAGGCTTTCAAATGTTCAGCAGTAACTCCTGAAAGGAGGCCAGTCCAAATGTAGAATAAATCCCCCCAAAAAGCTGAATCTCTGATCAACAGGTGACCCTGGCTGTGAAGTTAGAGGATAGGTACACAAATAAATTTATATGCCTTAAAGCCTCAATAATTAGACAATACATTCTAGGTATTATAAATCCACTTCAATTTTAGATAATTAAACTTAGAGACTATTAACTGAATGTACAAAAATCACGAACACTTCTGTATGGCTATAGTACATAATGACATACAGAGAGCTTTAAAAGAACAACTGTGCACATGTGTGGTGTGGGGGATGGAACTCAGGGTGTTTTGTATGCTAACTGAATACTATCACTGAGCTCCATTCCCAGTCCCAGTCTATTTTAAGAATTAACCAGGAAAATAAATCTACACACAAATTTATGATTACATTGCTTACCTCATAAATGTTGGGGTGCCACATTTTGGTCAAGAATCTGAAGGTAGGTGGTGAATATGGATAGTCAATAGGAAATTTAATATGTGCCTGAAAAAAAAAGAAAGACATGCTAATAAATGAAACTAATTCATCTAATACTTCACCCTGTTAAACTCCCAAAGAAACAAAGCTTCTTTCTATAGAGCATACTCCTAAGTATAAAGTAACTCATTTATAATTTACTATCCCTAGTGATGAAGTTATAAAAGCATGATCTTTGAGGAATTCTTCAAACATATATGAAACTATGTTACACTGTCAAAACTGAAGTATTATAATTTTTAATTCAACTCATGGGAATGCATGTTACATCCATTGTTTTTCTTTTTTGTTCTGAAGTGCTGGGGATGGAATCCAGAGCCCTTCTTTCACAAGCTAGGCAAGCACTTGACCACTAAGCTACATGCCTAACATGGAATACTGATTTTTTTAATAGCAATAAACAACTAATAAGGCCATTCTGTACAGCATCAAAAATGAAAAGGTAGTATATTTTTCTTTTTACTCACATACTTTAAATATTATCTTCTCACCTAGAAATAACAGCATTCTGATGTAGTTCCTTATAATAGTTTTCTGCTTTATCCATGTTTTCATTTCCTTACAAAAAAAAAATACTTTTAAGCCAAGCAACAGTGGCTCATGTCTATTATCCTAGCTAACTGGGAAGCTGAAATCGAGGATTGCAGCTCAAAGCCAGGCTGGGCAGGAAAGCCTCTGAGACCCTTATCTCCAATTAACTAACAAAAAAAGCCAGAAGTGGAGCAGTGGCTCAAGAAGTAAAGTGCTAACCTTGAGCTTGACAGTGCCCAGGCCCTAAGTTCAAGCCCCAGGATGCCCCCCCCCCCAAAAAAGAATACTGTGTTAATCCTAATGATCATAAATGTAAAGATTTTTCTTTTCTGTGCTGGTCCTGGGGCTTGAACTCAGAGCCTGGGCACTGTCCCTGAGCTTCTTTTTGCTAAAAGCTAGCATTCTACCACTTAAGCACAGCGCCACTTGTGGCTTTTTCTGTTTCTGTGGTACCGAGGAGTCAACCCCACTAAGCCACATTCCCAACCCCATTAACACAATATTCTATCATATATATGATAAATACATATTCCATCATATTCATATAGATGAGCTTTTTTTTAATGATTTAATTATTTTGCAGCACTTAGGGTGCTTCTCTTTTGTTTCTTATTTTGGTGCTGTTAGGGACCAAACTCAGAGACTCAAGTATACCAGGCAAGCACTCTACCACTGAGCCAAATTCCCAATCCAGCTTCCCACATGTTTGCAATTATGGATACTATTGTAGTGAGTATCTTTGGTGAGCCCTCCAAAGTTCTTTGCTAGCTGGGCACCAGTGGCTCATGCCTCTAATCCCAGCTACTCAGTAGGCTGCGATCTGAGGACTGCAGTTCAAAGCCAGTGCAGGCAAGAAAGTCTGTGAGAGACTCATCTCTAATAAACTACTCAGAAAAAGCCAGAAGTGGTGCTGTGGCTCAAATGGTAGAGTGCTAGCCTTAAGCACAAAGAGACCCAGGAACAATCCCGAAGTTCAAGCCCCAAGACTGGTGCGACCACCCCTCCGCCAAAAAAAAAAAGTTATCTACTAAAAAAGCAATGAGAAATTTGCCAAAAATGGCTCACGTCTGCAATCCTACTCAGAAGGCTGAGATCATCTAAGGAGATTCTTATCTCCAATATAAAAAAGAAAAACAAAACCCAGAAGTGAAGTTGTACCTCAAACAATAAGACTACTAGGTAGTCTTGAGCAAAAAAGCTGAGAGACATTGTCCAGGCCCTGAGCTGAAGCCCTAGGACTGGCAAAAAAAAAGAAGATGAACTTTTTTAGAATTCTTGAAAATAGCCAAACCCAGAAATGGTGATGTACATATGTTGTACCAGCACAAGGATCTTGAGTTTGAATCTAGCTTTGGTCACTTATCAAGACTGTGAAAAGGATGGGAGAGAAAACAAAAAGCTTCCAACAATTCGCGAAAAATAGCTAAACTTAATTTTAAAAAACAAAACAAAAAGTTTTGGAGTTTTAAATTAACCTTCTCCAATCCTATGTATACAGCTCTGCAGAAGCTCTAAAAAGAAAAGGTCATGTTCAATGTGAAAAACGGGAGACGTCAGCTGTATCTCTTCCTATCACCCTGGTTAAGAAAAAACTTCCTAGAAAAGCTGGGTGTTGGTGGTTCACCCCTATAATCCTAGCTACTCAGGAAGCTAAGATGTGAGGATCACAGTTCAAAGCCAAGCCAAGGCAGGGAAGTCTGAGACTCATCTCCAATTAACCACCTAAAAACCAGAAGTGACAATGTGGCTCAAAGTGGTAGAGTGGCTAGCCTTCAGTGAAAAAACTTGGGGATAGTGCCGAGGCCCTAAGTTTAAGCCCCACAACCACTACCAACAACAAAATCTTCCTAGAGAATAAAGATATACCTTGGATCTCACATTATTCTAAAAAATTCGAAGCAGTGGTGATGACTGGTCTCAATTAAGAGTTTGCCACAAACACAATACCATGATTTACCAATAACTTTTGAAAACAAACTTCCTCACCCAACTGAGAAGAGTTCCACATACAGGAAGAAGCCTTTGAAATAGTGTTGCAATGTAGTTCTGAAATTGACTATCTGTCAGCCAAGATTCACCCTTCCAGTTTATATACTACCACATAGCCATCACCCATTTTAAGGAAACTACAAGAAACCACCAACTAAAAGGAGATAGGAGATTTAAATCACCAGATTCTGGACCCAGAAGTGCGGCACAAACCACACAAAATTCATGAATAAACACACAGCAATATGTTTCCCTCAAAAATTAGACATGTGTCAGTAGTTCACACCTATAATCCTCACTACTCAGGAAGCTAATACCTGATAATGACAGATTGAAGCCAGCCTAGGCAAAAAAATTTATAAGGCTCTTATCTTCAATTAACCACCAAAATGCCAGAAGTGGAGCTGTAGCTCAAATGGTAGAGCACCAGCCTTGAGCAAAGCAACTAAGGGAGAATGCCCTGGCCCTGTGTTCAAGCCCTCAAACCAGCACCCCCCCCCCCCCAAAAAAAGCCCCACTAACACAACATAACTCCAAACAATGACAAGAATGCTTAGTGAAATAAAGATACTGATATTTAAACAACTTTACAGAATTCCTAAAAGATTCAAACAGCAAGAACAAACAAAGGAGAATACAAACAGATGGTAATGCAGTATGTGAAAGAAGAATTCCCCCTCTGTACAGTGTGTTCACAAAAAAAAAAATAATAAAAAAGAAGAATTCAATAATGATATGGAAATCTTGGGGGGGAAAAATCAAACTGAAATCTTAGAAGACCTCAACTGCCCAAGTGAAAAAGCTCATTGAATACCTAGGGAAACAGAACAGAAAAAGTTTGAGTCAAGAGTATCAGATGTGGGCTGGGGAGGTGGCTCAGTGGTAGAGCGCTTGCCTTGCATGCCTGAGGCCCTGGGTTCGATTCCTCAGCACCACATAAGCAAAAAGAAAAAAGCCGGAAGTGGTGCTGTGGCTCAAATGGTAGAGCACTAGCCTTGAGCTGAAGAGCTGAGGGACAGCGCCCAGGCCCAGAGTTCAGGCCCACGACTGGAACCAAAAAAAAAAAAAGGAGTATCAGATGTTGAAAAAAAAGCAGAGGAAAAAAAAAGAAAAAAAAAAGAAAAAAAAGCAGAGGAATTAGATCAAACATTCAAACACATTGGAAATAACACACACACACACACACACACACACACACACACACACACACACACACACACACACACACACACACACACACACACACACACACACACACACACGAGACACCAGGAACTTAAAGAGCTCTCAGACTCCTTCAAAAGACCAACTTTATACATAATGGGAATAGATGAGGGAAAAGAAATGAAAATAAAGGCATTGATAAATTATTCAAAAAAAAGGGCAAAAAACTTCCCCAACCTTAAGAGTTTTGTCCATGTGATATAGACATACAGAACTCCAAACAAGACCACTGAAGAAATACCCCTAGATACTTAATGGTAAAAACACTAAATACACAGAACAAATAAGATTATAGGAAGCAGCAAAAGAGGAAGGCGACCTACAATGGCACTCATTTAGAGTAACAGCAGATTTCTTGATGCAAGCACTTAAGTGAAAGAAGGATATGGAAATATGTAATTCAAGCCCTAAAGGACAAATATCAACCTAGATTTAAGCTACCCTTCATAACTGGTGGAAAAATAAAAAAAATTCCATAATAAACATCAACTAAAGGAATTTTTTTGGGGGGGTCCGGTCGTGGGGCCTGAACTCTGGGCCTGGGCGCTGTCCCTCAGCTCTTCAGCTCAAGGCTAGCACTCTACCACTTGAGCCACAGCGCCACTTCTGGCTTTTTTCTTTTTGCTTATGTAGTGATGAGGAATCGAACCCAGGGCCTCAGGCATACAAGGCAAGCACTCTACCACTGAGCCACCTTCCCGGCCCATCTAAAGGAATTTATTATCACTAAACTAGCAGTACAAAAAATACCTAAGGGAAGTCTAGCTTAAGAAAAAATTAATAAATACAGGAATGAATATACCCTTCTAGATGAATAGCAAAACAGGAAGAGGAAAGACACAAGCATCACAAAAACAACAAAATGACAGGAACCACAGAACATATCTCTCAATAGAAATGTTAAAATGTTACTGAGCTCAACTCTCCAACTGAAAGACAGAACAGGCTGGGTGCTGGTGACAACCATCTATAATTCTACCTACACAGGAGGCTGAGATCTGAGAACTGCAGTTTAAAGCCAGCCCAAACAGAAAAGCCCATGAAACTTCATCTCCAGAAATGGAGCTGTAGTTCAAGTGGCAGAGCGCTAGCCTTCAGTAAAGAAGCTCAGGCCCTGAGTTCAAGCTCTAGGACTGGCACCAAAACAGAGAGAGAGAGAGAGAGAGAGAGAGAGAGAGAGAGAGAGAGAGAGAGAATGAATGAGAATGAATAGTAGCTTGGATAACAAGGTCTTTCCCTTCCCTTCCACAAATTATACCAAC